CCAAGACTCATCATCTTTGACTCCAAGGAGCACTCTGTGTGCACTTTCTCCAAGAGATACTTGTTTGTTCTTTTGCCTCTATATGAGATATTCAATGCTCTTCTTCACCACCACAGATCAAAGGCACAAATTCTTCTTCTGTCATCTTTACTAACTGTCCAGCTCTCTGATGCATAGCAAGTGATTGAAAAGACCATGGCTTGAACCAGGCACACTTTAGTCCTCAAGCTGTCCCCTATAGACTGTCCAGTGCAATATGTCTCCTGATCTCCTGACTACTACTGGTACCAAGGATGTTGATTGTGCATCCAAGTAAGGGGAAATCTTTGAGAATATCAGTCTTTTCTCTATCTATTATGATATTTTCTATTGGTCAAGTGGTAAGAATTTCTGTTTTCTTGATGTTGAGAAGCAATCTATATTGAAGGCTGAACTATTTGATCTTGTGCAGCAAGTGCCTCGAGTCCTCCTTACTTTAGGCAAGCAACGTTGTGTCATCTGCATAACACAGGTTATTGATGAGTCTCCCTCAAATCCTGATGCCACATTTTTCTTCATAGTGCCCAGCTTCTCCAATAATTTGCTCAGCATACAGATCGAATAGATAAGGAGAGAGGATGCAACTCTGATGAACTCCTTTCTTATTTTTAAGCCCTGTAGGATTCTCTTGCTCTGCTTACACAACAGCCTCTTGGTCTAGGTCTAGGTTTCATATGAGCACAGTTAAGTATTCTAGATCACCATTTTTCTCAATGTTGGTCATAATTTGTTGTGATTTACACACTCAACGCCTTTGTATAGTCAATGAAGCAGAAATAGACACTCTCCTTGTATTCTTTACTTTCAGCCAAGATCCATGTCACATCAGCAGTGACATGCCTGGTGCCACAACCTCTTCTAAATCCCGCTGAATTTCTGGCAGTTCACTACGTATGTCCTATTTGGGCCATTTTTGAATGATCTTCAACAGTATTTTTCTTGCATGTGGTATTAATTATTGTGTGTTGCTTGAAGAGGCTATTTCCTGGAGATGGACATTGTGCTTGGGAAGGTGGTTAGGCAACAAAAGAAAAGAAGACCCTCAAGCAGGTGGGTTGACACAGTGGTTGCTGCAATGGGCTTGAGTGTGTCAGAAAGCAGGGAGATGGTACAGGCTAGGATAGGGTTCAGATCTGTTGTTCACAGGGTTGCTGTGGGTCATACTTGGCTCAATGGCACCTAACAACAAACTAAAATTAATATGATACTGTTGTCTTTTTATCCCAGATTGAAAAAAAATCCTCATTTTGTAATCAGTTTTATATTGCCCTTTTGCTGATAAGAATGCAGACATAATTTTGATTTTATTAATTTTTTTTTTACTTTCTAGGATTTTTTTAGGATTTTAAAAAATGACTGCTATGTTCTTGTTGTGTACCATCAAGTCAGAACTGACCTCCTGCGGGTTTTCAGAGGGAATTAGTCACACAGGAGGAGACTGTCCATCCTTCTCTTATGGAGCAGCTGATGGATTCAAACAGCTTACCTTTGGGATTGCAGCGCAGCTTTCTCACCACTGTGCCACATAGCAGCTGGCACAATGTTCTTAGATTTTGGTTAAAATGTAGACAGAGCTTAATAACACAAATAATCAACAAAGGTAGTTTTAAAGAATGTAAGTTGATTTCCTCTCCATACAAAAGGCTGCCTTCAAGGTTGGACTCTAGGGAGATAAACTTCCTGGTCTGTTTCACCTTCTAGTGGTATCTGTTCATACTTTCATATGCATCTGTCTTTCTCTCTTCCTGTGTTTCTCTATGTGTCCATTCTGCTCTTGTGGTATCTGTTCATACTTTCATATGCATCTGTCTTTCTCTCTTCCTGTGTTTCTCTATGTGTCCATTCTGCTCTTGTGGTAACTCAAAAGTGATTAAATATGGAAGCCACTCCCTTAAGTATGACCTAATCAATCTAATAAAGATATTCAGAAGCACCTTTATAAAAACTAGAGCGAGGATTTCAATACATGTTTTGGGGAGATACATTTCCTTTATAATATCTATCTTTTTTTTTTTATTCAAGCCATGAGTTTTCTAATAACTGGCTATGCATCTGAGAGGTGGACGATGAATAAGGATGATGGAAGAAGAATTGATGCTTTTGAGCTATGGTGTTGAAGAAGCATACTGAATATCTCATAGACTGCCAAAACAACAAACAGGATTCACATCTCATGCCGTAGGCAAAAATCAACTTAAGGTGGCCAAGAGACCTGAGGGTGAAGTCCAAAGCCATAAGAATCATAAGAGACAAAATGGGACTAAAGTTAGAAGCTCTAGCCTACAGAATAAATACAGCCAGATATGTATGACCAGGAATAGACGGATGGGATGTTCTAAAATTCAAACTTTTTTTTTTGCATTAAAAACTTTTCCTTATACACTTAAAAAAAAAAAGGACAGATATATCTTGGAGAAGGTGCAGCCAGAGGGCTCCTTAGAGACAAGGATGAAAAAGCTGCATCTCACATACTTCGGGCATGTTGTTAGGAGAGGGTCCTCCTAGGAGAGGGACATCATACTTGGAAAGTCGGAGGGTTAGCAAAGAAGAGAAATAGCCTCAGGGAGGTGGATTGCTAGAGTGACTGCAGCAATGGACTCACGTGTATCGGAGATGATAAGAGTGGAGCAGGATAGGACAGAATTCTGTTGTTCACAGGATTGCTGCAAGTCATATTCAATTCAACGGCGCTTAACAGCAACAATCTATTTTATTTTATTTTAATGTTATGTTATGTTATGTTGTTATTTATTTTATTTTATTTCATTTCATTTCATTTTATTTGTGTGTGTGTGTGTGCTATCAAATCAGATCTGACTGGTACAGGAGGAGATTGCCCCTCCTTCTCCAGCAGAGCGTCTGGAGCAACAATCTTTTGTTTTACTCTGATCTTGTTTTTACTCTGATCTCATGTTTTCATGCCAATTTATCTTGGACACAGCCCTCATTTTAAAAATAAATCAGCAATTTCATAAAACTACCATATTGTGATCTTCTCAGTTCATTTAAAATTCATAAAGTCCATTTAAAACGCTTAGTGGTCTTTGTGCTACATATGTGATTGATTAGTCAGCATACTGAAGATGTGTGTATAATAGTTAAGGGAAATGCATAATTTATTAAAAATATGAGAAAATATTTCCTATATTGGTATATGGAATACCTTATGTTCATATAGGTAGAGACCCTAGGCAACTAATAGTTGTGCTGCCAACCAAAAATGAGGTGGTTTGAATCCACAAGCTGCTCTGTGGGGAAGAGATGGACAAGCTCCTCCTATATGATTTATAGTTTCTGGAAACTTCCATGGATAGTCAGCTGTGAGATGGTTCTGATTCAACGGCACATAACAACCAAAGCCACATAACAACCAAAGCCTGCTAGAGGGCCAGTTATGAGTCAGTTCCAATTTGACAACACACTGTTGAGGAGTATATACATTGAACTATGTTATAAATTAGAGGAAGGCAAAAGGAATTATTGTTGGAGTTTGAAACAATTTCAGTGATCCAACTTTCAGTATAATATGAATTTATTTTACAAGGTATAAAGATTCAGAAATAAAACTTTTCATATTTAATGAATACTTTTGTCAAACATACAGACAAGATATATAATGCAGATAAGAGCACAAAAAGTAAATAAAGCATTTAAATGTTTAATATACAACAAAATGCAAAAAGCTACAGTTGAAGCCTACCCATGAATCTGAATGCAAATTTAAACAATGTCAATATCACAAACTATTTAGTTATAAAATTTTATATACTGTATGTAAAATTATTTAAAATATGTATAAAGTGCATTTAAAATATCTAAAAAGTGCATTAAGAAAAGAAGGAAAGAGTTGACAACATTGCCACGTGTGATTTGTTTATCGTTTGGCACCGTTAGTTTCTAGTTATTTTATTTTCAATTTTACTGTTTTTCTATATTATGCAAATTTTCACAGAGAACACGAAAATATTAAAGTTATATAACATATCAGCAAAAAAATAACAGAAATACTGTTTGTTCCTCAAAAGTTTTTCTGTTTATATTTAAATTAAAATAGCTACAATTTAAGAGAAGATTTTCATTGCTGTGTGAAGCCACTGGATATTTTAAAAAAATTGATTAACATGGCAGACATTTTCATATAGGCATACACAAATATGTAAGAGACAAAGGGTATTCAAATAGCTGCAAATATACAGAAACTTATTGATGAGGTAATGAAGAAGACAGCATGCTTCAAATTCACAAAATTAATATAATGCACTTAAAAATCTGAACAAATAGGACTATGGCTCTCCTTGTCTATAAATGGTACATTTGAATTGTTTTTCAAATATATTTGCTTGCTTATTTGTGAGTCTGAAACACCCATAACACTGTAGACAATTTCTGGAAAGTTTCAGTATGTTATTCTTGGGTTATACTAATATATATGTATGTGTGTGTGTATATGTATATGTATGTATGTGTACATATGCATATATACACATTATATATGTTTACATGTATATATGTATGTATATGTGTGTATGTATGTATATATACACACACACACATATATATATATATATAAAATACAGAAACTGTATCATAAATTAGCATGAAGTATCCACGTAGATCCAGGCTCTTCAATATATATTCCTCTCATATATTTTATCAAGATAATGGCAAAACCCATTATTTCATATATTTCTAAATCTGTAGTTCTATTTCTCCCACATACGCAATACCTCTTTGCTTGAGGTTTTTTTATTGCTTTGATTTATTAATACTTTGCTTTATCTTTGTCACAGCTTGGCAACTACCTTCTAAGGGGAAGACAACTTATAACATGTGTTCATTTATTAACTTAATATGCCAAATAAGCCTGCTGATAGTAAATGATGTTTCAAATTAGACAAAGGACTAATTATCACATATAGAAATGTACAAGGTCATGACAAAGGGTTCTTAACTCTCAGGATTTAAGGGTTGTCTGACTGAGAAAGTAGCTTCCATCTCATGGTTGTATCAACTTCTTCCACGTCTTCTCGTTCTTGTTCTTTAGAAAGCTCTAAGAAGATCTAAATAAGAAGCAAAGAAAGAAAAGGACTTATCGAGCTGTAGATTGTTTTGCCAGTGAATGGGGGAAACGTGATTTGCACGCAACATTTACAGGGATAACTCAAAATCATAAAAGTGAACCTGCCTGTTCCAATGTGCACTGAGAGAGGCTGTATTCTTCCAGGTTAAAGTTCCGCTTCACTGGCGGGGAGGGGGGTGGGAGAAGGAGAAGCACTAATATTAGATATTTACTATTTTTCTTTAAGAATTCATTCAGGCAAAAAAAACAACACCCAATTAATTCATTCAGTTAGAGTAAGAATGTAAGTCACTAATATAAATGGAAGATAAAAGCTTCATAAACAAACCATTCGTGAAATAATGAAAAGTCCTAAAGGGCTAATATCTTAGATTAAATTTGATGTTAAAAGAATGATGTACTAAACAAATAGGTTAATAGTAAATGTGGTTATTTTAACTTAGTGCTCATGTCTTGAGGAGCAGATAGATATCTCATAAAGAACAAGTTGATTGTCTGAAAGGTTTTAGGGAGGCCCGAAGATTTCTCTGTCACTTTCATTTAAAAGTTAAACTCATCCTGGGCCCATGAGTCTGAATCAACTCTTTACTGGCTCCCCAGTGAGTTACTGAAGCTGTGAATTAGTGGAAGAAGACTTCTCAGCCTTCTCTGGGAGCACCTGGTGGGTTCAAAGCACCAGAGAGGTGATTTGTGGGTTAGTGCCAGCGCTCCCTTAACTTTTATTAGTGGAGTATGTCGTTGTTGTTGTTGTTGTGTGCCTTTGAGATGCTTGAGACTCACAGGAACCCCATGCAGAACAGCTCTGAACCCTGCTCTATCTGGAGACAATTTCAGTGCCTCCAACACACTTGTTTCCATAAGCTAATTATATGAGAGAGGAAGCCAGGGGTGGAGCTGTAAAGAAAGGAGAGAACATGTAAGTTAATGTAAGGAGAGAAGTAGAAAAGTGGTGATGTTGTGTGTAATATGCTACTATCTGAAAGTTCAGCTATTCGAATCCACCAAGCCCTCTGAAGTAGAAAGATGCACATTCTCCTCACATGAAGATTTACAGCCTGGAAGCAATGGAGAATTGCTGTGAGTTGAAATCGACTTCAAGGCAGAGAGTTTCACAGTTTTTTCTTCTTACTTCAGGGTACTTTACGTCACACCGTTGTTGTTGTTGTTATGTGCCGTCGAGTTGCCTGTGACTCATAGCGACTCTATGTACAACAGCCCTAAACTCTGCTCTGTCCTGTGCCAATCGCACCGTCTCTGACACACCCATTCCGATTACCCCAGTCACTGAATCAATCCACCTCATAGAGGGCCTTCCTCTACTGCACTGTCCCTCCACCTTACCAAGCATGATATCCCTCTCCAAGGACTGGTCCCTTCTTACAACATGTCCAAAGTATGTTAGACGAAGCCTCAGAATCCTTGCCTCCAGGGAGCCACCTGGTTTAACCCACTCCAGGATGAATCTGTTTGTTTTCCTAGCAGTCTATGGTACCCTCAATACTCTTCTCCAGCACCACAGCTCAAAGGCATCAGTTCTCCTTCTATCCTCCTTAGTCACTGTCCAACTCTCTCATTCATAACAAGTTATTGCAAAGACCATGGCCTGTATCAGAGGCACCTTAGTCTCCAGAGAGACACCATTGTTCTTCAGTACTTTGGAGAAGTCCCTAACAGCAGACTTTCCCATCACAATATGTCGTTTAATATCCTGGCCACTGATGCCGAGAGTGTTGACTGTGGAGCCAAGCAAACTAAAGCTGTTTGTCTACCTAGGACTCTGCAAATTTTACCTTTAGATATTGTTCTTACCTCCCTCTAATCTGTGAAAGGCCTGAGACAGAGGGTGGACATCCTCAAGGGGCAGTTTGTAGGCCAAACGGGAGGTATACCTAGAAAAGTAAAGCATCACACTTAAGCTTGAGTTTTAAGAGCAAGAAACAATCATTAAAATACATATTGGTATGATTTGGTGCAACCACTGTGGAAGGTGGTATGGCACTTTCTTAAAAAGTTGTAAATAGAAATACCATTTGACCCAGCAAGTCCACTACTGGGAATATACCCCAAAGAGACCATAACTGACATCCAAGCAGATATATGCACACCCATGTTTATTGTGGCTTTGTTCATAATAGCAAGGAGTTGGAAACAACCTAAGTGCCCATCAGCAAATGAATGGATAGAGAAGCTGTGGTATGTTCACACAATGGAATACTACACTGCATTGAAAAACAAGGAACTCACGAAATAGTATTCAAAATGGGTGAGCCTGGAGGACATTATGCTGAGTGAAGTATCTCAGTCACAAAAGGACAAATACTGCATGGTGCCACTGTTGTAAAACAGGACTGACCTCGGGGTTGAGGGGGAGACTGAGAAAGATGGGTTCAATAATGTGTACTGCATTGAAACAGATGAGGGAGAAAACTGTTTAAAAGGGATATGTGATTAGGCATTTTTGTCATGACGGGAGTCAGAGCGAAGGGAGGGTTGGGAGGGGAGAAAAGTGCAACAATGAATGAATGGAAATTAAAAAAAAATTTAAAAAAAGAAATATTGATATGATTAATGAGATATTTCTAAAAATGATAGTCACTCCCAATGAAGGTGAACTTGATGTTATGGCATGACAAAATGAACATGCAGCTTACAAATAAAACTACAAATAAAAACTGCTTACTACAAATAAAACTGCTTGTCAATGGGAATTTTAAAAATCATTTTTGGCAGCTGACTCCTTACTTAAAATATTCTCCTAGCAAAAATCTGGAAGAATCCCTTCTATGATCAGTCTATGCAAACCTTTTGCTCATTGGATTCAAGTATTCCCTTTGGTTTGTTCAAATTAGTAGGTTAAGAGCTATTCTTAATTTTAGAGTCTATTCTGGTCAACTTTCAGGAATCTAATTAAGAAAAAGACCTGTAAGGTTAGAAGAGAGGAATACAATTGCAAAGCAGGTATTTTTAAAAGACTGTAACAGAAACATCCCTGGTTTCTCTAAGGAAGAGCCAGAACATATTTTGGGCATCTAGTTTCTCTGTACTGCCTGTCATCATACAAGCCCAGGCCCTGTTGTTTGCCTGTCTTCTACGGGGTTTAGTGCTCCCAGGTGGCCCCAAGGTGGCTCAAATGTCCAGGTCTGGTCCTGCTCAGACTCCGGACCTTCCCACAACCACTTTTCTGCTTTATAACACTATAGGTCTTTAAACAGGACTCACATGTCCTAAACTATACCACACACCCTCCTGTTATATACATAGTGCTTAAGAAGTGAAGGACCAATTTCCAGGCGAGTTCTTAAGTAAGCTCAGCCCATCGATGAATTATTTTTCCCCTTTTCTTCTCTTTTATTCCATTTTATAATAGTTTCAAACAATCTTGGTGTCATTTATTCCTTAAGTATTTGTCATTTATTCCTTAAAATTCCCAAGTTAAATAATTGGTTTCAAGATTTCTCCCCACCCCTCATGGTTCAGAAAGTATTTAGAAATGAGTCTGGTAACCTAGTGGTAAGAAGCTGAGTTGTAATTCTGAAGACATAGTGTTTGTATTCACAGCTGATGCACAGGAGAAAGATGAGCAATCTCCTGGGAGAGTAATTTCCTTTGAAAACTTACTGGGTGGTCAACTCTGGGTTGGTCCTGACTCGATGGTACACAATGACAAGAACAACAAAACAACAACAACAACAACAACTATCTCTTCACAAGTTCTCATTCTGTTGTTGTTGTTTTGATTTTTTTAAAAAAATTATTATTAAATTTTATTCGTTTTAGTGAACATTTACAGAGATTTTGGGTTTTCATTCATTCATTGTTGCACTGTTTTCTCTACTCTCCTCCCCAGTTCGTTCTTCTCCCCCTCCCCAAATGTCTGTTTTAATTGTCCAATTGCCACAGTGCTTGTCGAAGCCAGTTCTGATTAATCTCCTTTGTCAGTGCGTCCTTTGCCATTCCCTATCTCTCCTCCCTGAGAGACGCTTCACCCTGATTCATAAGGAAAAGGGGATGGCGTATTCTCTTAGCTACTTCCTGCTGAAAAGGGACGCTGTAGGTTTCAGGGTGAAGATCTTCTCTCACTACTCTAAAGGGCCCCTTTGGCAGTAGGAAACACATAGACTATTATGGAGATTGATTTTGGAATTTAGATTCACTGTTATCAATTGTGCTTAGCCGTACATGTTCATATCCTTGAAGATGTACCATCGATGAATTTAAAATTCATTCTCTCCCTCTTTTTACTTCCCTCAATCTCTCTCTCTCCCCCCCTCCACCCCCAATCTCCCCACCCCACTCTTGACTCCACTTTGACTTATGAAAATATCATTAAAGGAAGAGTTACTGATGATCCCAATTGGCCTTTGTTTCCATGAGGGAAATTTGTTCAAAATATTTGCATCTATCATCAGCTTCCTGAGCATGTCTCAACTCTTTGAAGATCTGGAAGACTCAACAAATCAGTTGTTGAGATCCCTAACTTTTACCAAGAAGTCAAATTACCTGAACACTGTCAGAGACCCACAAAAGAAGCAGAGAGGGGGCCAAGTCTACAGTGATCAGCAAAATAAGAAACACCTTTCACCTTTCCTGCCGCATCGCTTGTGGAAAAAGCTTCAGGATCTCTGCGTGCACAAGAGTCACTTGAGAAGGCTCCTTCACTTGGAGCTGGAGAAGGTAATCCTTGCCGAACTTTCTTTTCAGGTGTCCGATGGGACCGATGTATCTAGAGGCAAGGACAATGGGTTGAAGACATTTATTTAAAAACTCACTGTGGTCAAGTTGACTCACAGTGACCATCCATTGGGGAGCTCTGGTGATAAGGAGTTGTACTGCCAACCCAAAGGTATGCAGTTCGAACCCACCAACTTCTCTTGAGAGAAAGATGGGCGATCACCTCCAGTACAATGTACTGCCTCTGAAAACCTACTGGAGGGTCAGCTCTGAGGGATCCCACTCGGTGGCTTACCCACACACGTTCACAGTCTGAGGAGCTCTGGTGGTATAATCTGTAGCATGTTATGTTAACCAAAGGGCTGTGTACCGCAGGCTGTTTGAATCACCAACAGCTCTCCTGGAGAAATCTGGAAAGTCTCCTCCTGTTATTTGTGCTGCTGTTGTTATTTTGTGCCCTTGAGTCACAGCCAACTCATAGCTGGCCCTTCAGTGTGATTTCCAAGGCTGTAAATCCCCTGGGAGGAAACGGCTGATCTTTGAAGAACCACCTGTTTTAGGCAGCACAACTCCTTACCCAAAGCGTATACTTCCTCTCTCTTCATATACATATACGGAGCTCTGGTGGCCTAGTGGTAACAAGTTGTGTTGCCATCCCAAAGGCATGCGGTTCAAATCTACTAGCTGCACCATTGGAGAACAATGGCTAATCTCCTCTCAGGCTGCCTCGTCAGTAATGGGTCAGTTCCAACTCGATGGTACATGGGTAATTTCTTGACATTATTTTTTAATTTCAAATGTAGGTAGAAGAGTACAACTGAGAGAGAGGCCAATCTCCACATGCTGACATGGTCCCTTCTCCATGTATTGAGGGGCAGACGACACCCACCTGAGCCTCCCAGACACCATGATGGCCACACGGTCACACAGGGCCTCGGCCTCAGCCAGGTGGTGGGTAATAATCAGGGCTCCTCCGTTGGTGTTCTTAACAGCTGCTTGGACCGTCTGCCTGATATGAAGCAAAGGATCATGTACATAAAAGATTGTACTTTACATTCACGTAAATGTGTGTTTAAAACAAGGTATAAGAAGAAAAGAGTCACGGACGAGAAACAAGCCACAAGACAGTTTATGCCTCTTGATTGGATCTTAGTGCAAACAAATCAAGGAAATGCAAATGTTGGATGTGATCTTTTCATATGTGATTGTGGCTCTGTGCTTAAGAAAAACGTCATAGCTTTTGGAGATGTTCGCAGAACTATTTATAAATAAAAGGATCTGTTGTGTGGGATGACTATTAGATAAGCTAAGGACGTTGAAAAGCAGAGGCAGGGTGTAAATGAGAGAAGACTGGTCACATGCTGGTAATTGTAGAAGGCGGGTTTTGACTTGATAAAGAATTTCTATATTGCTGCTGTGGTTGTGATGTGCCATCCAGCTGGTCGCTTCTGGTAGTGGCATCTGGGAAAGAACAGCACTGCCCCACCGGGTTCCAGCGTCATCTCTGTGGGAACAGAGTGTCAGGTCTGTTTCCTGATGAGCAGCGGATGGCTTGGAATGGCCGCAGGGCTCCTTGTTTCTGTCTCTGTTGTGAAAGTGATTATCCTAAGCCTTCTAAATAAGTAGGAAGAAACGTTGGATTGTCACAAACGTGAAACTACATTGGGGAATTATTCTTATGAACCCACAGCGAAACAGAGAGATTGGGAAGTAGGTATAGAAAAAGTGTGAATAAAAGCTGGAGAAACAGAGCTGACCAGTTAGGTCAAAAGGACAAAGAAGAAGGAAATTGGATCAATAAACTAGTGTTCTCTAAGGAATCAAAGTTAAGAATAAAATATAAAAACAAAAACACAGAACCAAAAAGGAGGAGGAGAAGGAAGAGGGGAGAGAGACTATTGTCAACATCTCCATAACTATTGTTGTGTGGACCATCGAGTCAGAACCGACCCACAGCTGACCCTTCAGTGGGTTTTCAGAGGTGTTAATCACACGGGAGGAGATTCCCCATTCTTCTCTCATCTCGAAAATGAAAAGACAAAATTAAAATACACTTTTTGATTGTAAATTTGTATAATATGAACTTTCTAAGACAACAAAAGCTTGTTGTTATGTGCCGTCGAGTTGCTTGCGACTCATAGCAACCCTTTGTACCTGAGCACTGCTCAATCCTGAGCCAACCTCATTGTCTCTGACACCTGAACCCCCAATACCCCAGTTATTGAGTCAATCTTGTTGTGTATCGTTGAGTTGGAATTGACCCATAGCTGACCCTCCAGCAGGTTTTCAGAGGCAGTTAATTACATGGGAGAAGATTATCCAACCTTCTCCTGCAGAGCAGCTAGTAGGATTTGAACCATGTGCCGCTGGGATTGCAGCACAGCTTCTTGCCACTAGGCCACCAGAGCTTCTTTGAGTCAATCCTAGACAGTTTCTAATACCTAAAGTTCTAGCAAAGTCCTTTCTTTTTACCATATATAACACATGACTATAAGGCAGCATTTGAAGATGCAATTGTGGGATATTTATCTTCCTAATAACAGGGAGAAGGGTGGGAAGTGTCCTCCCATGTTTGCTTCTGAAAACTCGCTGGAGGGTCAGCTATGGGTCGGTTCAACTCTATGATACACAACAACAAGAACAATAATAGGGATAATCCAGGATTAGTTTAAAGATACAAGGTTTAAAAACAGCCATGTATCCTCCTGTTTCATGCTCAGATTGTCACCGAAAAGTATACCCATGTTTATCGCGGCTTTGTTTACAATAGCAAGGAGTTGGAAACAACCTAAATGCCCATCAACAAACGAATGGGTAGAGAAGCTGTGGTATAT